TTCCCTGTGCCATTCCACATTATTACAAATAACTTCATTTCTGGACATTTATGGTTTGATTTCTTTGTATGTATGGATCACTTGGGTTGTTTCTGGTGAAAATTTCATGTCATTAGCACCTCTAGTAATATATTTACTGAGAAAAATGGTAACGTGTTCAATACTTATTTTACCCGCTGTATATTAAAGCTTCAAGTCTTCACCTGTCTGCTCTCCAGCAGGTGAGTCTTCTTGCTTCAGAGGAGATCAGAATCACAGCACGCAACTCGTTAGTGTGAATGAAACTCTGAATAATTCTACATTCATGCAGAGCAGCATATTTACAGGACTGCCTGTGGAGGAGGCAGACGTGTTGTTCTCTTCCTCTTCTTCTTTTGCAGCATCATCATCATCATCCTCATCATCAGTTTCATCCTCATCAGCAGCTTCGTCATCTTCTTCTTCATTTTTTTCACTCTGATTCTGCATCACAACCTGGTATCCAGAAAAAGAAAATAAAAGCATTCAGTTTCAAAATGTTTTAACCACCAGCTTCAAGAATAACTAATCTGAACAAAATCTCTAACAAACACAACATCGACTACTAACGGAGGAAGATGAAGGATGCATGAAGACAATAAAACTATGCAGCAAACACTAAACCAGGAAGGAGAGGAGCTAGAGTTTAGCAGGATGGGATTTCAGAAACATTACTGAAGGAACAAAACGGATCAAACCTGATCCTGCAGAGCTTCTCCTGGAGCAAAATCTCCAAACAAAAAACTTGTGCAAAAGAAGTTTTATTCTTAAATGATGTCAGGATATCTTTGTGAAGTTCTTTGTTTTTCATGTGAATTCAATGTTTAAATGATTTGGTAGAAACCCAGTTTTCTACATTTTAAAGAGAAATCTATCAATTATAAAAACAAAGAAAAAAAGACAGCAAAGATAAATGAGCATAATCATCAGCTGAACACTTATTTTGACCTATAAGGTGACAAAATACATTTGTGAGCGTTACTAATGTAGTGTTTGTGACAAACTACGAGGAGCTCAATTTGACCAACTAATATTTTGTCATGGGTTATGTGACCAACTTCTATTTATAAAAATATAAGACCTGTATAAACTATAAGAATAGATTGATACACAATATTAAAGTCTAAGGGAAAATTATTCACATCCACAGAAAGAACAGAAGATATGTAGACTTTTAATGTAGCCATGAAAATGTGTAAACTCCACTGTTTTCAGTCTGCAGGGGAAATATTAATGAGAACTTGTTTATCAAATATGGATTTAGAATTAGTGGCAGAGTGGTTAGGGGAAGGTCACAGGTTCGATCCCACGTCCAGCTGTCTCAGTTGTTGTGTCCTTGGACAAGACACTTCACCCCTAATGCCTCTGATGTGTCCCATCAGTGTATGAATGTGATTGGCACTGATTAGTCTCCATATATGATTGTACATGTTAGCTTTGTAGAGACCTAATAAATTGCTGTGTGAATGGGTAAATGAGGACACAGACTGTAGTGTGAAGCGCTTTGAGTGTCCTAGATGGATAGAAAGGTGCTATATGTATAAGTACAGTCCATTTACCATTTACCAATTTTCAGAACTGTATAATCAAAATAAATCATGAAGAACTACTGAAATAATCAAACAAGGTGTATTGTTCCTTATTATCAGAGATCCCATCAAACATTATGGAAACGTTCCTGCTGTCATCTAAAAAGAGCTAAAAGTTTTTGAGTAAAATAATAATGAACTTTGTCACAGGAGATTGAACTTTGGTCTCCTGTATGAAAGGCAGGAACGCTCAATGCTAATAGGTGTGGAGACTGGAAGAGTTTGTGGGCTATCTTTCTTTGATTTGGTCACTCTCACTGTCAGTTGAGAGTTTCACTCAGTGGTTTATTTTATTAGGTGTTGTTTTTTTTCCAAATTACTTCCCTAGATTAATGTTATGTATTGTCATCAATGCATGTTTCCGCATAATGACAGTTTTCAACATGTTGGAAGAACTTTATGGATGTAAGGATGTTTATATTTTCACGTTTGACTTCCCTAACAGGGAGCTGTTAGGTTTTTTGATCAGAGACACCATGACATGAGTATAGTGGAGGAATTGAACCTATGACTTTCTGGTCCCACTTCACTACTATTATATGGTAACACCACGAAAAGGAATAGTGGTCGAGACACTCGTTTAGATATACAATATGTGGGAGGAAGCACCATTCTCTTTGGGCTGCATTAAAGTGGTTGGATGAGTACGTTAGTACTTTTAGAAACCCCCTTCAGAGGGGTCACCATTGTAAAGCATGATTTCTTAGGATTTTCAATGGCCCCACTGCTAAAAAAGACAAACATGATTGTTGACATGGCACATACAATTACTAGTCAAACGTTTTGACACACCTTCTCATTTATTGTCCCCACTATTATCCTTTGGAGAGGCCATGGTAAAAGACTTCCGTACAACTTGGAGCCCATTCTGGCCCACCATCCGGCATCTGGGGGCGGGGGTGGGGTGTGTGTGTGTGGGGGGTGGGTGGGTAAGCAGTACACCACCAACACTGTTTACTGTGGGGATGGAGTGCTGCTGACCTCAACTCGGAACGTTGTGGGTCGGTGGGCAGGATTCTTCAAAGACCTCCTCAATTCTACCGACACGTCTTTCCAAGAGGAAGCAGAGCCTGAGGACCCTGGGTTGGATTCTCCAATCTCTGGTACTGAGGTCACTGAGTTGGTTAAAAAGCTTCTCTGTGGCAAGGTGCTGATCACTGTGCCAGAGATTAGTCCACATTGCCGGTAGTAAGTCAAACTCGTTTCCAGTGAGAGTTGGACTCTGGACCGATTCTGTTCATAACTTCTATGGACAGAATTTCTAGGAGTAGTCAAGGTGTTGAGGGGATCCTTTTTGGTGACCTTAGGATCACATCTCTGCTTTTTGCAGATGATGTAGTCCTATTGGCTTCATCAGATCATGATCTCCAGCTCTCACTGGAGCGGTTCGCAGCCGAGTATGAAGCGGCCGGGATGAGGATCAGTGCCTCCAAATCTAAGATCATGGTCTTGAGCCAGAAAACAGTAGGGTGCCTTCTCTGGGTCGGGGAGGAGGTCCTTCCCCAAGTGGAGGAGTTTAAGTATCTTAGGGTCTTGTTCACGAATGAGGGAAGAATGGAGTGGGAGATCAACAGGCGGATTGGTGCTACATCTGCAGTGATGCGGGCGCTGTACCGATCCGTCGTGGTGAAGCGGGAGCTGAGCCAGAAGGCAAAGCTCTCAGTTTAGCAGTCGGTCTACGTTCCTACCCTCATCTATGGTCACGAACTTTGGGTAGTGACCGAAAGAACGAGATCGCGGATAGAAGTGGCCGAAATGAATTTCCTTCGCAGGGGGTCTGGGCTCTCCCTTAGAGATAGGGTGAGAAGCTCAGTCATCCAGGAGGGACTCAGAGTAGAGCCGCTGCTCCTCCACGTCGAGAGGAGCCAGTTGAGGTGGTTCATCTGGTTAGGATGCCTCCTGGACGCCTCCCTGGTGAGGTGTTCTGGGCACGTCCCACTGGGAGGAGGCCCAGAGGAAGACCCAGGTCACGCTGGAGGGACTATATTTCTCAGCTGGCCTGGGAACACTTTGGAATTCCCCTGGATGAGCTGGCCCAAGTGGCTGAGGAGAGGGAAGTCTGAGTCTCTCTGCTTAGGCTGCTGCCCCCGTGACCTGAGCCCGGATAAGCGGAAGAAAACGAACGGACTCTTATCCTCTTTTCCTACATTGCAAATCAACACCGAAGTCATCCAGACTATGAAGGAACACAATTGCAAACCCAAAAGCACAAAATAAACCAAAATATTTCAAGACCCTAACCAGATTCTAGATCATTCAAAGTAGACATCCCTTGCTCTGACCACAGCTGTGCATACTTTGGAACTCCTTCAAGACTATTGAATCAATTTTCCAGGTGACTACAAAACCTCATGAAATTGATTGAGAGAATAGCAAGAGTGTACATGGCTGTGATACAACCAAAAAGTGCCATCCTTGAAACAATCCAAAATCTAAAACATATTCCAAGTTCACTACATAGCTTCTAATGTGTTCCTTCATAGTCTGACACCAGTACCAAGCTACAACATGGGGAGAAAAGAAAAACAATAAACATTGTATGAGAAAGTGCCCAAACCTTTGACTGGTCATGTTAATAAGATTAAACAGATGAATAAAAAAAAGGTAAAATCACTGGACACAAATTCCATAAGCCCAAATTCATAGAAACAAACCATGAAACCAACTGTTCAAATAAAAGCAGGCAGCACAAACATCAAAATCACACAATTTATTCCAATTACAAAACTCTGTTTCACTTTAAGGCAAACAATCTGATGAAAAAAAATCAAACCAACTTGATACTCTTTACCATGATTATAACTAAATCAACAAAATTGTTTTTTGAACAAACAGAAAACACTGTATTTGAGAAAACTTTGATAAGCATGAACAGATAGGCAATGATGAAATGAAAACAAAATTTAAGACAAATACAAGTTGTTTCCATGTTGCAGTAGAAAAACAGGAAGTAAATTGAGCGAGAAAGAGTTGAAAAATAACAAATTAGATAAAAAAGAAATAAAAGGCACAATTTTTTAGATGATCCAAAAATATTTTAGAGGTAAAGTTGGATAATGCTTGATACAAAAATGTTAAAATAAAACTTGGTTAAAAAATTAGATGAATTCCAGAGGAAGACAAACACAAACAACCAAAACTTAAAGAATTAGATTAAAATTCTATATTAAACTTCCCACAAACTCTAAAAATTACAAAGTCAAATTCTAGATAAAAACTCTTTAAGATGTAAAAATGTCAAATATTAAAATTTGTGATTTTATTTTAAACTAATTTGTTTGCTTGGTAAAGTGATGATATGAAGAAAACGACCTGGTAAAATGCTTTGCTCCAGGACAGACTCTGGCTCCAACATAAGGCTGGATGGACAAGTTTTCCTTTGTTGACATCTTTTAATCAATTTGTAAATAAAAGGTTTCTGCACCTCAAGATTATTGGATCTCGGCCATCGAAACCTGTCGTAACGAGGTGGAGTGGACAGTGATCACTGAGAGTGAGAGCTTGGTGGGGGGTGGGGGGTTCAATAACAAGGAATTCACACCAAAGCATTGTAGCTCCACTTTATAAGGGACAAAGTGAATGGTTTGAATGTGAGAAGGAAGGATCTAAAAGGCTTTAACTGACTGGTTGTTGATCAGTCAGTGTGCTGCCGTTATTTCAGGTTGAGGTATTTGGGTAAAACGTTGTCCCAGAACTCCTCTTCCTCACCTGCAGGTGCACCTTTACCTCTCGACCTTTGTTTACTTTGAGCTGCAGACTTGCTGCTTCGTCCTTTCGTGGAAGAAAACTTCTTTTTCACAATCTCCTCCTCTTCCTCAGTGCTCTGTCTGTCCTCTTCTTCTTCACTTTCCCCCTCCCCCTCTTCTTCTTCTTCTTCCTCCTCTTCATTTTTATCATCACATTCTTCCTCCTCCTCATTTTCATCTTCACTTTCTTCCTCCTCCTCCTCCTCATTTTCATCTTCACTTTCTTCCTCCTCCTCCTCCTCATTTTCATCTTCACTTTCTTCCTCCTCCTCATTTTCATCATCACTTTCTTCCTCTTCCTCCTCCTCATTTTCATCTTCACTTTCTTCCTCTTCCTCCTCCTCCTCCTCTTCCTCTTCTTCCTCTTCATCCATTTCTTCACTTTCTTTGTTCTCACTCTCTCCCTCTTCTTCTTCCTCACTCTTCTCATTTTTGCTTTCCTCTTCCTCGTCACTTTCTCCATCCTCTTCCTCTTTGGAACTACCCTCTTTCTCCTCTTCTTCCTCTTTCTCCTCTTCTTCTTCCTCACTCTCGTCATCGTTTTCTGTTGACTTTGAAGTCTCACTTTCATTCTTGTCTTTCTCATCCAAGCTTTCCGAGTCCTCCTCTTCTTCAGTCTCTGCTCCTTTACTCTCAGTTTCCTGACTCAACACTTCTTCTTCCTCCTCGTCCTCTTCTTCCTCTTCCTCTATACCGTCACTTTTGCTTCCTCTCTCCTCTGTCTCACATTCACTTTCTGTGACTCCACTTGTTCGTTCCTCTTCCTCCTCTTCATTAGCTTGAGATGGATCTTCTGGTTGAAGTGTGCCATCGTCATCATCATCTTCTTCTTCTTCTTCTTCACCTACAGTTGTTTTCTTATCACTAACCTCTTCCTCTTGGCTGAAATCTGGACTGGTTCTCTGACCTTCATCTTCTTCCTCCTGTTCTGCTCCTGTAGATCCTGTCAGCTCCTCAGCTTCATCCTGATTTGTGTCCTTCTCGTCCTGACTCGTTGGTTCTGGACTCTCAGCTGCAGGGATGACGCTGATGCTGACAGCAGATTTGTGACTGACGTCCTCAGCTGAGTGAGATTCAGACTCTTGGTCGGATCTCGACACAGCGTGCTGAGAAACTTCATGGCTGCTCTCTGAGGCAGCTGAGGAGCTCAGTTTGCTTCTGGATACAAGTTCTTGGACTAAAACGGTTCCTGCTGCCAGAGACGCAGTTCCAGCAAGCAGACGAAGGTCTGACTTTTTCTTCGTGTTGGATTCCTTTTGGTTTTTCTCGTTCTTGGAATTTGTAGATAAAAGTGAATTTTGTTCAGATTTGGAGGGTGTTTCCTCCTCAGCCCTTGCACTCTCCTTGTGGTCTGCATCCCTCAGTGGGGAGCCAGATGAATCTGTTTGATCAAGTTTACTAGCTTTGTTTTTAACCCTCACATGTTTGGATTCTAGCCGCTTATCTTCCTGTTTGGATTTTAGAGTATGTTTCCAGTCTGCTGCTGGTTTCTGGATCGCCTGGTTTCTAACCTGAACTGGTCTGGGATGCTGTTGGGATGCTGCCGTCCTGATGTCGTCAACACTTTGAGTTCTTTTTTTATCCCTTCCCAGCAGCTCCACAGCCAGGAGGTTCTCTTTGTTCTGCCTTGTGCTTTTCTGTTTCTGTGAGGCCGAAGAGCAAGTGCTGCTGCTCCTCAGCCGCTCTGTGGGTAACGCCTGGCGAGCAGAACCCGAGTCGCTCTTACGTGATGGAGAATGTGAAACAAATCTGCTCCGCTTAGAGAGCTTTCTCTCCTTTTTCTGGTTCTGCTCTTTGACAGGATTAGCATGCTTACCCTTCCTCTGTCCCCAGTGTGAAGAAAGCAAGAAGAAGATGAGAAAGAGACATGCATTAGAGAAGACAAGAAACGTGCAGATAGGACACAGGGACGAAGATAAAGCAGTTAAAGCAGCGTGAGCTTCTTTTTAACCCCTTATGAACTAAATCATAGAAAAACATTTATTGTTTTTGATGTAGCATAATGCAGTCATATTTGATCCAGAGTCACCAGGGGCCTCATGTATAAAAGGTGCGTACGCATAAAAAAATTATGTGTGCCAGGTTCTACGCCCACGTTGTGCTGTATTAAAACCAACGTTGCGTTGCGTTGCACTTTTCACCTGCCGTGAGAATGTGCGGCAGCCACGCAAAGTTTTTCAGCCGACAGTTTTAACTCTCAAAGTCATGAATCTGACCTGAATCCACAGAAATATGACTCTGTTCTGTTTGCTGGATGTAAGGAGCGTCTGAACACGGTGTCAGATGTTTTTTTTAGTTTGAGTTTTTATTGTTTAAACTCAAACGATCATGAAACTGAACCCCGGGACTGAAAATCATTTAACCTCAGACAAGAAAATAATCAAAAGAACCTCAGTCCAGTCTGTAAAACTGTTTTTATATTTTTGTCACATAGTTGAAAACATTTTGGGTCCCGGGCCGGAAAAACCCGACACATTACGTGCGGCATAAAAAATAAAAATAAAAAAGGCTGAAGAGAGGGAGCAAAAGATGCAAATGGCGGCTCACTGTACGGTAAGAATAATTATTTTTTCTGTGTGTAACCTTCTGGCTGATGCTGAGTTGAGTTGTGGCCGTAGCGCAGCAGCTGCACTTTGGGTAGATATTTGCGCCAGGTGCGCGCACCCTCGCCAGCTGGGAAGGTGTTCATACGTGTCAACCCCTTTGGATGTTTACCTGTCGAATGAGCCTCAAAAATCAATATTTTTTGCTAAAAATCCGTAGGCTACCACTCGTACGCGCGTGGCGGTGGGGTGGGGGGTCTGTCTGTGGAGATGACAGCACCTGCTGCAACGCAGGAGGAAAGGAGAGAGGAGAAAGTGGATAACTTGATGTTTTTTTATTTATTTATTTTTTAACGTTCATTCAACGCCGTGTTCAACTAAATAGACAACAACTAACCAGGCTTCAATATCACATTCGGGAGATGTCTGTAAATTTCAGGAAAATCTCAGGCTTTGGTTATTGCGTGTAAATGCGCCACATAAAACAATGACACCCCACTACTTATTTAGACAGTTTTCTCACTCATTGTCCATTTAATGTATAATTTTCCTGCATCTAAAAATCATTTCTGATCCCACAGAGAGGAATCGGAGGAGAATCCCACACGCTGGACACATTTACATCTACTTTACAGATTTAAACGGAGGTGTCTCACCTGCGCTCAGTTCCACATTCATTGGGATGTATAAAGGAAAGGTGAGCAGGAACCTGCGTGCGCACGGTTTTGTACATCTGAATATTTTGGTGCGGCGCACTTTTCTAAATTTGTCCGTACGTCAACTTTTAGTGTGAAAGCTGCGCACTCCTTTATGCATGAGGGCCCTGGACCTTAAGAAAATCTTTGGTCTCATCTTAAACAGGACAGAAACAGGAGAAATGTTTCTGATGAGCAGATCATGAGGCATTTTATGACCTTTATTTCTATTGTAACCAGAGGACTGTTGTTATTGAATGCAGCCTTCACCTCACATTATTGTTTGTTTACACTTGGCTTTGTTTAATTTTATGACATATTTATTACTGTATTTAAAAAGTATGATACATCTAATCCTCAAGTATAATATTATCTTTATTTTTATCCAGATGTTGGGATTTTTCAGCAGGTTTTATTGCGGTGTACACAGATTATTTTGGAGATAACTACTTTCATACAACACTGGTAAAGGCTTGTGGGTTGTTTGTTTTTAGGAGGAGGCTGCTGAGGAGCAATGCGTACTTCTGCGTGTTATTTTCATGAAAATGGACCACTCCCTTTGTTAAACTAGCAGGATGTACAGCTTTGAGGAGCAAAAACACGCAACTGACGGCCATGTATTTTACCACCACCATGGTTAAGAAAATAATTTGTTTTTGCTCTTCCAACTCCTCATCCAATGGAAAAGAGTTTCTCGTCAAACGTATAATACATCGTCAAGTAAACAAAAAAAACGATTGTGTTTTTATATGCTTAGCTATGTCAGACATATTCTACAGTGGGAGAAATTAGGAGGCATACATGTCAACTTGTACAGATTGTCCGTAAATTATAAGGATTTTACGTCATTTTGCAGGTATACAGATTTATAGAGCAATCTCACGGATTTTTTCAAAACCTCATTTTCAAATTTATCTAACATGTCAGAGCCTGTAGGATGATTTTAAAAACAATAAATAACATCAAACAGCCATCTTCCAACCTGTTCTGCCTCTAGAAATAAGTTTTGAACTTTTTCCGCTCACCCTTCCTCCTGCTTCGCAGCGAGCGCTTTCATGTCCGCAGCCGACAGACCCCCCCACCCCCCGTGGGTGCGAGTTGTACGGATTATTTGCAAAATTTACGGATTTTTGAGGCTCTTTATACAGGTAAATGTCCGAAGAGGTTGACATGTATGAGGAGGATAAATTCTAATAATTTATCTCACATGAAAAAATATTTCAGTTATATACGAGGAAACATCTTAATGAATTGTTTTTAATTATTTAGCAAAAAATCTGTCACAATTTACCCCTGTGTTTCATATGATCCCCCAACTTCATGGATGATTTTTGTGGTTACATTTTTTGCATGATACACACATAAATATGGTACGATTGGAACAAAAAAAACAGAAACAACCCCACAAACCAGCATGATGAAGAAAAAGAAAGATTAGAGATGTAATGTAGGTAAAAAGAGATGAAGATTCAATGACGCACATCACCTGGAAGCTTGACTGATATAAAACTCACCTTGTGCAGAGGAGTCAGGGTCTTTGTTTCATCACTGGGGTTCAACTTCATCACATGTGTCTGTCAGCAGGAACAAAATAAGGAAAGATTAACTGAGCTGAAAAAATTCAATTTGTTAAAACAGATCAGGTCAGGTGTATATTTTCTCACCATATTGAGAAAGTCTGTAGTTTCCCCGAGACCTCGAACACTGTCTGTGTCCGTCAGACTGTCCACAATACTGTCTGCCTCACCGTCCGTCTGCTCTGAAAAACAGAACATGACTCAGCACTGTTCCACACAACTCCAAACAGCTGTGTCATTTATAATGTAAAGATGTAAACTCTGAACATTCTGTAACAACGAGATGACAGTGGTGGATCCTTCATTATCAGGCTGCAGATTCTTTTCTTGGTAAAAAGAAAAAAAATCTTCATAAATATTTTTGAATATATTAGTTTTCAGGGTATTTTACATTGAAAAATGCCTTTTTCTGTTCTTTTACTTGCTTTAATGAAGGTATTGTGTAAATGCTGAGTCAGCATTGTTTTACTGTTTAGTTTCATCTTTTCTGAAGAAAAAATTGGAAGGAGATCATATTTCTCCAGTTTTAGCTTCTCTCCACTGGCTCCCTGTCAAATTCAGAATAGAATTTAAAATATTACTCCTAACATACAAAGATCTTAACAACCAAGCTCCATCATATATTAAACATCTTATTGTTCCATACTTTCCTAACAGAGCACTTCACTCTCAGACTGCAGGTTTACTTGTGGTTCCTCGAGTTTCTAAAAGTAGAATGGGAGGCAGAGCTTTCAGTTATCAAGCTCCTCTCTTGTGGAACCAACTTCCAGTTTCTGTCCGTGAGGCTGACACTCTGTCTATTTTTAAGATTAGACTGAAGGCTTTCCTTTTTGATAAATCCTATAGTTAGACTTAGGTTTCCTGAATTATTCCTCCAGTCAATCGAGGCAGATGGTCGCCTGTCCTGAGCCTGGTTCTGATGGAGGTTTCTTCCTGTTAAGGGGGAGTTTTTCCTCTCGGCTGCTGGTGTCCTGCTCAGGATGAGAGACTGATGAAGTGATTCAACACAATCTGCTGGCTTCTTTAGATTTATTCTGTTTTTGTGTACAGTGCCCTGAGACAATATTTGTTGTGACTTGAAGCAATATAAATAAACTGAATTGAATTTAATTTTCTGGACTGTAACTACTTTAGCATATATTCAGTTATTTCAGGCATGAACCATTAATGCTAATGAGAGAGATGACTACCTTGCTGAAGCTGGCATCAGGCCCACTTCAAACGACCAGAGCCTGTCGTAGCTATTTCAACTGTCGTCCGTAAAACAGCTCTTCGAGGCTGGATAAAATGTCAACACTCACTGAAGGGATGGACTGTAGACAGACATGGGAACTGATAGACAGACCAAATCTTAGGTTTGGGAAAGCTCTCATCTCCCTAACGAGGAAAACTCTAAGCACACTGGTTGGAGTCCTAACTGGGCACAATCTGCTCAACCCCTTTCAGGGAGAGCAATGGGCCCACTTTGAGGGGCTTAGAGATGCATAAATATTTCTTCGAATTCTTAAAAAACATTCTACTTGAACTTGAAAAAAACTGATTCATTCAGCAAATTTTTAGCTAAATTATCAGCTTTTGTTTTGCTAGTCATAACTTGTGCCTGCTGTTTTGCTAATTTTAGCTTTCAGCAACTGTGTTTAGTTTTGTGGCCTTTATCTGCTGTTTTGCTGAATTTAGTTCTAAGATACTATTCTGCTGATTTTAGCTTTTAGCAACAGTTTTGGTATTTGAAGCTTTTAGTAGTTGTTTTGCTAATTTAAAAATATATAATTTAAACGTGTACAATTTATTTTACTGAATTAAACAACTTGAACATAAAAGAAAATAAAAATTAATAATTAAACAGTAAAATTTGTAGTTTGAAAATTAAAAATATATACCATATATATTTTTCACAGTAATCTAGGCGAATAAATAAAAACTAATCGTGGTCAGAGAGGTTGGGAACCTGTTGGGCCGTTAAGCACCTTCTTGTGGCTCAGCTCAGGGGGTGGCAGCCGGACTGGTGCAGTCTGACTGGAGACAGGAAGTGGCGTCTGAAGGAAGCCAGGCGACATGGCAGGCAGCGTCTGGACCATCAACCCAAACTTGTCTGGAGATCGCTCCTGAAAGCAATAAGAGAGATTTACAGATTTTAATGAACCAGCAAAGGTTTCTGGATCAACTGAACACCAGTTGTTTTCAGGAGTTAATTGATTCTGAATAAACTGTAGTAAAATTGTACCCACCCTACCCCTCCTGCGAACCCGAGCAGAGAGAGTTCTCTTTAGGACTGTGGTGCCGTTCGTGTCCCCCAACAGCTCCACGTAGGGTTTCTCCAGGAAGTCCTCCGTCACATCCTCCTCCTCCAGAGTCAAATCAGCTGAGTGTGGATTCCTGGGTCTAGCCAGAACCACCATGTGACAGCCGCCGCATGCCGCCTGGATGAAACATCAGCAACAAAACTAAACAGGTGCTTTGAAAAGTTTCCACTTCATCGGTTACAGAATGTACCTAAACCCAGAGAAATAAAAGTGTCTAACTCTCACCGACTGAACGTCGTACTTGAGGAATCGCGGACACAGAGTAGGTTTAAACTGGTTGGCGAAGTTCTCTTCTCCCAGACCCAGTTTACCGTGTCGGCCGTCTCCGAACGTGTACAGCAGCCCTCCGTCTGAGGAAAGATTCAGGGTTTCAGTCGTCTGATCAGCACTTTAGGTCTGACGGCGAGTTAGGCCCAGCTGGTGTTCACCTGTGATGACAGCGGTGTGGTTTTCCCCGCAGAACACCTGACGCACTGGGTTCTTCTTAAAGTGCTCGACCAAACGTGGAAGCCGAGACTCAAAGATGAACGTACCGTGACCGAGCTGTCCGAACTGACCGAGGCCAAATGTGTAAACGTTGTCTTCTAAAGACGACAACAGAAAGAAAACCACTCAGTGGAAACTTTAAACAGACAAAAGTACAATCAAATCTACTCTGTCACTGTCAATAAACCAGTAAACTGGAATATAAAAAGGCAACTCTCATACTTTAATAAAAGCCAGTGAGTCCAAATGGGTTTGAGGATGAGACTTAAAAACACCAAAAGTTGAAGCTTGTTTGATATTCAGGAGCAGCTGATACCACAGTTTGAGCTCCAACTGAAAAAAACCTGCTCACGCCTGGATCTGAGGACAACTACAATAAGCTAAATAAAACCGAATTCAATGATTTTTTAATCCAATGAACCCAGATTTTACCCACAATGGAACATGAATGGAATATTAAAAAATAAAAAAATAAATTATGCACAAAAATTAAATAAAAAATATCAGATTTTTTTTTAATAAGGGTCATTTGGACTTTGATGGCATGTTAAAACGCTGTTCCAGTGGCAACACGAGGCTGTAAAATTAAGTGTTACTAATAATAAAACAGCTGGAGAAACACCTGGTAACTGATTGGATTCATTGTTAACAGGTCACCAAGAGGACTGGGTATTAAAGGCAGACGTTAGAGAGGATTAATCTGTCAGAAGTAAAAATGGGCAGAATTTCACATGAAAAATTGTGTCAAAAAATAATTTTACCATTTCAGAACAATGCTTCCTTGTGAATAAAATGTTTTTTAGATCTGACGAACATTGCATTTTGGTTTTTTTACATTTACAACCTCACTTTTTTCAGAATTGTGGTTGTTGATCAAATCAAACAAAACCAAGTTATAAAATAAAACAAAGAGGAAAGTAACAAAATAAAAGCTAATCTAAAGAAAAGAATCAAATATAGTTAAAAATAACTTAAAATGTTTCTGAATAATTAAACATTTTACTGCATTTTTATTCTTTTTATGGCAGTTCTTTAAAACCATGTTAGTTTCAGCTCAGCAGGATTTAAAAAGTTTTATTAATATAAAACTCATTTCAGAAACACCATTAGCCTGTGCAGCTCTGAGAAACTCACAAAACCATTCCTCTTCCCTAATTTTTTATCTCACTACACCCAGCTGATGTTCACCTGTCAAAACCACCGTGTGTCCGCCACCGCACGCCACCCGCCTCACAGGATCCGTGATGCTCTTCACACGCTGGGGGAGGCGGTGCGCCGACAGCTGCTCTGTGCCCAGACCCAGCTTCCCACTGTCCCGTTCCCCGAACGTGAACAGAGCTCCGTCCTCTAACAACAAAAAACAACGCAATTATTCATTTATATAGTGCTTAAAGAATAACTTACCCCAAAATTAACTTTTTTTAGCTGATAAACTGTCTAGAATGTGTCTAAAATGTTATATAGTACTGTTTCTGTGCTTATTTTGATGTTTTTGTGTGTATTTGTTCAAATCTGTAATATTTGGTCTAAAAACGTCTTTTTGCTGCTCATATGGGTGGAGCAGTGGTACTGCAGACTAATTTGCATATTGGTTAAAGGCTCTCCACGGT